ATAAGTCTGAGAGTGTAATAGAGCCCCATGCATGCAGATAGATCATATATTTCTCCCTAAATGTATTCATAAATAAGTTTCAGTAACTAAACAATTTTTTTAAAAGTTGGAAGCCGTCATATTATTATATCAAATATGACTGAATTTTTATATCTGATAATTATTCTAAAATACTGAAAAATCTGCTGTAAATAGAATTTACTTTGGAAAAATAATTAATGTATAAATTAAAATGCATAGTAGGTACCACATTCCATTTTTAAGTGGATATTGGTATTTTGTTAGTCTGTTCACTTGCAGGCGCTTATTACAGTCTTGTTTTTTGTTGCAAAGAAGGGTTAGAGAGCCAATTATTTACTGAATAGTTACTTAAAATCATGTACTCTTCTATATGATTAGAATCTGATTCAGTTACCTTGTAATTGTGTGACCTCTTCGAGCCTCAAGATTTTGTTTTGTTGTGTGTATGTGCTGCCTGTAAAACAGGAATGATAACAGTACCTATTTTATAGAGTTGTTGTAAGGATTAGTCAATTTATATAAAATACTTATTAACAGTGTCTGGCACATAAGCAATCAGTGAATAAGTGTTAGCTGTTGTTATTATGGTGACATGATTACTATTGTTGTGATTAACCTAAAGCAAGGCTCCCTGAGTCCGTGATTTCCTTATCTCCACCACAAAATCCCTAGTAACTTTTCACAAACCTCTGTGTGAGTGAGTGATTAAACTGTATGTCAGCAAGCTTACTTTTGCTTCTCTTTGTGTTGGCTTTGGCAAGGTCAGAGACCTCATGTTAGATGACCATCTGTGTGGAAGGAACATAGCTTTTGCTAATAACTGCTGGCATTCCCTGGATTTTGCAAAATATGACCAGGATACCCACAATTTGCCACATTCAGCTAAAGTATGATTTGCAGTCAGCAAAAGATTGTTTCTTATAAGCTTCCTATTTAAGATCCCGTAGGATGTGGAAGACCTCAGGGGTGACTTCATTGCATAGCAATAATAGACAGTATGACTTGTTGGTTAATGAATTCTCTGACTCATAAAAGATGTATTATTTTATCATGGCACAAATTCTGCTGGATTGTTTTCTTTAAGATATTTGTCAGAACTAGAATCTGAACATATAAAAGAGTGTGAGTGTGTCAGAAAAGATACATCACCACTATTATATTAGAGTAAAACTAAGGGCTTGAAAAGAACAAACTACTAATACTGATAACAACATGGATGTATCTCAGATACATTTTGATAAGTGAAAGAAGCAAGACTCAAAAGGCACATACTGTGATTCCATTTACACATTCTGGAACAGGACGGATCAGCAGTTACCAGGAGCTGGTTGTAGGAGAGGAGTGGAGTGAACTATAGAGGGACCTAAGAAAAGTTTGGATAGAAATGTTCTGTATCTTGATTGTGGTGGTGGTGACATGATTGTAAGCATTTGTCAAAACTCCTCCAACTATACACCAGAAGAGTGAATTTTGCTATTTGTAAATTATATCTCAATTAATCCGGCTTAAAAAACCAGAACACACACAAATGGCTTGTAGTGTTGATGCAGGTCAGTATTTCCTTTGAGTATGTAGAATTGCATATTACTGTACTTTATCTTCCTCTGAAATGTTGATTTATGTATTTACTGTATATTTGTGTTCACTTATTACAGTTTGAAAGTCACATTTTTAGCTCATTAAGTATTTTACTTTCTCCTCTATAAGTAGTAATTATTTAAAAATTACTTGGAAGTTTTTCAGTTTCACAGAATATACTGCATATGTTTCATAGTATTTAAGTTTTCTGTATTAATCAGGATGCTTCTAGCTACAAATAACACCAGTAATACTCAACCTGGCTTAAACAATAAGGAAGTTTATTGGCTTCATCTCTATAGTTTGGGGATGGCCGCTCATAGCACTCAAGCCTACACATACCATCATGTACACGGAGTAGTCAAGAGAGATGTCTTTTTCCATGGTTCTTCCTTAAGAGTAGGAAAACGCCCTTTTCTAAAGCCCCCAGCACATACTCCCTCATGTCTCACTGGCTCCTGAACTAATGTGTACTCTTGATTATTACACCATTCAGGGCCCCCCTTTTGATCTGGGGATGAGGTCAGTTTCCCCAAAGGAAAGGCTCCATAGTAGTGGGGTAGATACACCAAGGAAATCTGGATACCATTAAGAAATTGGGGGGGGGGTGCGGCCCCGTGGCGTAGCCGTTAACTGCGCACGCTCCGCTGCTGGTGGCCCGGGTTCGGATCCCGGGCGCGCACCAATGCACCGCTTGTCAGGCCATGCTGTGGCAGCGCCCCATATAAAGTGGAGGAAGATGGGCACAGATGTTAGCCCAGGGCCATTCTTCCTCAGCAAAAAAGGGAGGATTGGCGTGGATGTTAGCTCAGGGCTGATCTTCCTCACAAAAAGAAAGAAATTGGGGGGAAAGGATGCCAGGCAGGCAAGCAACAATGCTAGTACTTTACCCTGAATTTATTGTTAAACCAAAACCTTCACTAATTGTGGAATTTGATGACTGCATAGTTCTTATTTCAGTATTTCTGAGACCACAAATTATTTAAGCAGTATTATGTTACTTTACCTAAAGACTTCACATGAAAATACCTCATTGCAATGCTGCTGTAAGAAGCAACATGATAACTTTCCACATTAGAAGAGATATTGTGTATAAAGCATAAAGTAGATCTCATATATGTTGAACACAGTGAAGTATTCATACACTTAATAGCATTTTATAAACAGTTTAAAATGTAGCATTTACACAAATTAGACACTGGTGTAAAATTACTCTGGTCTACTTTGGTACTCAAGTTTTTACTAAATGCTTATTGTACTGCATACTTTCCTGGAATGAAAAGGGTGTTTCAGCAAAGTAACCAGGTAGAAAATTTCTAAATAAAAAGATATTTAGGTGTAAAATGCATTTTAGTAGGACCAGCCCCAAGGGCTTTGGATAGTTGAAGAAGGCTCCATGTGGCAAGGGATGGAAATTCAGCAGCCCATCAAAAAGAAAGTAAGTCTTAAACACCTAGAGAGATACAGCAAGAGCATATGCCAGGCAGAGAGGATGGAAAGAAAAAAGATTTGGAGATGGCCAGGGATGTGTTTGGATAAAAGTGGATAGATCATTGTGTTTGGAGAGAAGGGTGCCTGTAAAGACACAATGAGAAAGAAGTTTGAGGAAGTGAATAGAGACAAAGTTTGAACAACCCTGAATGGTATACAGAGTCTGGATTTTATCCTGTTGGTGAAAGGACTATTGAAGGCTTTACTTTCTGTGGGAAACAGGATTATCTGGGCAAAGCAGAGTTTTAGAAAGATTCTTCATACAGTGGTATACAAGGTAGGTTAGAGCAAAAAATAGTAGAATCAGATCATTTGGCAACTAATGATTGGCCTGGGCTTGAGATATGGTATAATCAAAACAGAGTGGCTGGCAGGGATGAGAACTTAAAGGATGAATGCTAAAGACATAATATCATGAGTAGGAGTTGGTAGCTGACTGGATTTTGTGGTAGGGAACTAAATTTAAAGTAATTCAAGATACCAAAGTAGATAACTGGAAAGGGATGGAACCATTGCCAGGATGGTAAAGTTTGGGGGCTGAGGGTGTGGTAGGATAGAGGTTTTCCAGAAAACATGAGTTTGGTCTTAGTGGTAATGAAGTGGTTATAAAGGGTTCGGCCTGGTGGGGTAATGGTTAAGTGCGCGTGCTCCGCTTCAGTGGTCTGGGGTTCGCAGGTTCGGAGGCCAGGCGCAGACCAGCGCACCACTTGTCAAGCCATGCTGTGGCGGAGTCCCATATAAAGTAGAGGAAGATGGGCATGGATGTTAGCCCACAGCCAATCTTCCTCAGCAAAAAGAGGAGGATTGGCGGCAGATGTTAGCTCAGGGCTAGTCTTCTCCCCCCCCCCAAAAAAAAAAAAAGTGGTGATAAATGTCCAACAATAGGTATGTGAGACTGCTACTCATTCATACAGTCAGCCATATTTTATTGTGTGTCAGTGTTTCATTGAAGCATTGTAGTTGACACAGGAGATAGAGCAGTTAACAAGGAAAAGAAATGTCCTGGGGCTGGCCCCGTGGCATAGCGGTTAAGTGCACGCTCTCCGCTGCTGACGGCCCGGGTTCGGATCCCGGCCGCGCACTGATGCACCCCTTGTCAGGCCATGCTGTGGCGGCGTCCCACAGAAAGTAGAGGAAGATGGGCACGGATGTTAGCCCAGGGCCAGTCTACCTCAGCAAAAAGAGGAGGATTGGCATGGATGTTAGCTCAGGACTGATCTTCCTCACAAAAAAAAACAAAAAAAGAAATGTTCCCATCCTTGTGGAACTAGCAAGGTTATACACATATATTTAAGAGTTAAGCAAATATATACTGAGGAAATAATAAAATGTGGATTTAATTAAAAATAATATGGGTAGAGGGAGATGGGTGGGGGCAGAGGTGAAACAAGATTAGCAATGAATTGATAGTTGTTGAATCTCAGTGATGGACATATGGGGGTTCATTTTACTATTTTCTTTAGTTTTATATATGATTGAAATTTTCCACAATAAAATGTTTTTTGAAAAGGTAAAAAGTTCTGTGCATAGAGCTAATAATTAGACGAGATATCTGAGAGAGTGATGAAATCGTGTCCAAAGAGTAGCCTGAGAGAGGTAGGGAAAAAATGAGGAAAGTATAATGTCTGGGAACTGAAAAAGATAAAAGGTGTTTCAGGGAAAAGATGGACGATAGCGTTAACTGCTACAGAGGTCAAAGAAGAAGTTATAACTTAAAGAAGTTATTATAGGTTAAATCTAGCAGATTTTGTTCATTTCTGGTTGGATGTTCCTTGATGGCTAAAAGGACTCGCGTACCTAAGAAGCTTGAAAAAACTGTTTCGATCAAACCATTTGATAAGGTGTTTATTACTTGAGAAATGTTGTCCAAGCTTTATTTCCTAATATGTGAATATCTATTCTATTTTTAGGAAACTGATGAGCAAAAACTTCACAAAATAGCCAATGAACTTTTGCTTACAGAAAGAGCTTATGTCAACCGACTTGACCTCTTAGATCAGGTAATATTTTCCCTTTTCGAACTATTTTATTTTAACTTAGTAATTAAAGTGTTTTAGAAACCGCAAGAGGGGCTTCACCATTTTTGGCCAGTGGAAGCTGAACTTCCTCAAGGAATTCTCTAACATTTTCAGCTTGGTCAGTGAATTCACTAGGTGTAAAGGTTTGTAATTCATAAAGAACAGATGGAAGGACTCTCTGTACACGTTACAAAATGCCTTTGTGTCTTTTAACCCTAAACACTAGTCTGTTTCCTGACCATTTATTGTGATCTTGGGGGGCATGTTACTATTATAACCTACCTGAGAGCTTGGTGATTCTAATGCAGACATGAACGCATCACTGATTCTGTTTGTCTGTTCGCTCGCTGTTCAGCCCTCTGTGAGCGATCTGGATTGCTGCAGTCAGGGGGCCAGAAGGGATTTTGAGAGTTCACTTATTCAGCCTCGTATGAAATGTTTAATACAGTGCCTGGTGTAAAGTTGCACAGTCAGTATTTGTTGACTATCTGCATCTACTTTATCACATTTTGTACTTTCATCATGGTGGAGCCTTGAGTAACACTTCAAATATATATTTGCAAAGAAAGTTTTAAAATGCTTCATAAGAATTAACTGTAGAAAACTAAGGCCTCTTAATCTTGTTTCAGTGATAAAAGGACAAGATAATTGGTAGATTGTCTGCTAATAAAAGACTCCTCTGATTAAAAGAGAAAGTTGCCATGTTTGAATGGTAGTGGTAAGAAAAATTATCCCACTTCTGCCATTGGAAAACTGGAACTTCATGGGAGTAGGCCATCCTGGGCACACTTTCTTATCATTGGTTCCTAGAGTAAACTCTGTCCCTGTTAAGATGAACCTTAAGGAGCCGGATTAAGGGTTGTATTCTTTGAAATAATGAGATTGTGACTCATGATACTCACTTTCCAAAGCATTTCCCGTAAGTCAATCAATTCATGTTGAGTTTGTGCCTTTGAAACAACTTTTCTCACCAGCGGGGTTACAGACCTGAAACTTCTAGGTAGTCTTATGGTGAAGAGAGGTGTTTTTCTTCTTCTTTTTTTTTCAACTGTATTAGCTTATCAGCTACTGTTGCTGACTTATTAGAATTTGAGAGTCTTAATTACTACAATATCCTATCTATTGGAGTCTCTAAGGACATAATTTTGTGTTCTTTTTGCCTCCCAAGAAAATGCAGTGGAGGTGAATTTAGAAAATTAACAACCATCTGGACATTATGAAGGCACAGACCTCCTTCTGCCTACATTTAACAGAATGGCAATTAAGAGGTATAGTAGCCCTAGTGGAGTACAGCTAAGACTGCAGTTTTTTTTAATTGTCTTTAAGATACCTGTTGTTATGTACAGGAGAAGATCTTTTTATCCTCATATCAGTGTTTTAAGTTATCATGCGTTGTTATTTACTAAAAAGCAAGAAAACATCTGAGAACTTCTGTTCATCCATTGACTAGATACTTATTAAGCACCTGTTCTACTGGGGGAACTAAATCCTGATGTCCTCCCTCCCCAAGGAGTGTACAAATAGGGAAAAGGAGATGAATGTCAACAAATTACAGTAAAGGACAATATGTAATAAGTGCCATAGAAGTCATTCAAAACATAAAGAGGAATGAAAAATACCACAATTATTGTGTGTATACAAAGTTTTCCATATCTCTTAACTCTACCTGTGGATAAGAAGCGTAAATCCTGTTAACCTCAATTGGGAATTCTCTGGCACAGAAAAGGTTAACATCCCACAGAGAGAGGCATAGCCTTGGTTGGAGTCAAAGTTTCCTAATTTTGATTCGTGGTTCTTCTCAATCAAAGCATATACCCACTCCTGCATTTAAAAAATGACTGATTTCTTGAACCATGAACTTTTACATTTATTCAACCAAAAGTTACTAAGAGCCCACTATGTGCCTAGCACAGTGCTATGTGATGAACTAATAAATTTGAAGTAATGTTTGCTTTATTTTCTTGTTCAGGTATTTTATTGCAAACTATTGGAAGAAGCAAATCGAGGCTCATTTCCAGCAGAGATGGTGAATAAAATCTTTTCTAATATTTCATCAATAAATGCCTTCCATAGTAAATTCCTATTGCCAGAGCTGGAGAAACGAATGCAAGAATGGTAAGAGGAGTAGATAGCAAATGCTATATCTAAGGCAGTCATGTTAGATGCTGTTTTTCAGCTTTTAAATTGAAATAGTAATGCTACACAGATCTGTAGCCAAACCTTTGTGCTAAATTTTTACGTTAAAGGCCACGGATAGAAGTTGTGGTATGTTTTTGGCTTTAATTAAAAAGGATTTCATCTCTACTCTCCAAACTATGTTTTGAGTAGTGGAGACGAGATGTTAGGGGTAATCTGGAGCTTCAAGAATTCCACAGCATCTCTCTTTACTATGTCATTCCTAAACTCCCTTTAAAAAGGTGCTGCTTCGTTCTCTACCAGTGTCACAGCAGAGGGGATGTGACAAAGCACAGAGTGTGTGTAGAAAATGATTACCTCATTTGGAGTGCTGTTAATTCACTCATTCTATAAGAAATCTTAATGATTTGTTTCTATATTTTATACAGGGAAACTACCCCTAGAATTGGTGACATCCTTCAGAAATTGGCGCCATTCCTTAAGATGTATGGAGAATATGTGAAGGGATTTGATAACGCAATGGAATTGGTTAAAAACATGACAGAGCGTATTCCCCAATTCAAATCAGTAGTTGAAGAAATTCAGGTAATAGGACTCTGGTTCAGTCTATAAATTTTTTCTGTACCAATCATAAGATCTTGTAGATCTAAAATTTAGATTGAGAAATCTGTCTGAGACACCTAGCCAAATTCCATTCTACTCTGAATTATGCAAAAATAATCTCTGCAAAGTTAAAATATTTATTGAGCACATGCCATGTACTGAGCAGTAAATTCTTCATTTGCTTTTGAGACCAGGAGAGTCTAGCTTTATCAGGGTCCATGTAAATTTACGAAGTGAGTTCCCGTTCAGATCTATGCCTCTCTTGCTTTCTTTCAGAGGTTGAGATGTTAGAATGAATATAAATGAAATAGAGAATGATTGTTATAAACCCTGACATTTTGGAAACATTATTATTCTGGTTTTTTTGGTCGCTTTATATATGTGTCCTGATTTTTTTTTTAATTTCACTAAACCTGGGTAATATATTTTAATAGTACAGTAGTAATTTCTATTTGATTCTCTAGTCAAAATTGTTAATAACTTATTCTTTGCTAAAGTTTAAATATTCAAAAGGAATCCTTTTTTTTTTTTTTTTTTTTTTTGTGAGGAAGATCAGCCCTGAGCTAACATCTGCCAATCCTCCTCCTTTTTTTTTTGGCTGAGGAAGACTAGCCCTGGGCTAATATCCATGCCCATCTTCCTCCACTTTATATGGGATGCCACCACAGCATGGCTTGCCAAGCAGTGCGTCGGTGCACGTCTGGGATCCGAACCAGCAAAACCCAGGCCACCACAGCAGAGCGCGTGCACTTAACCACTTGCACCACCCAGCCGGCCCCCGAAAAGAAATTCTTTAGATCACATAAGATTCTTGGGGTGGGGATTCTTGTGCTGCCTTTTGTGTTTTTAATTTTTTATTTGCCATTTTAATTCCTCTAATTTTAAAACTATATCGAGTTATTTTCCTACTGGTTGCTTAAAGGATTACAATATGCATCTTAATTTATCACAGTCCACTTCAGATTAATACTAACCTTAATTCTGATAAAATACAGATATTTTGCTCCATTCTAGCTCTGTTCCCTCCTCCATGCTCCATGGTATTAGTGTCATACATATTACCTTTATATATGTTTTAAATCCAATAATGCAGTGATATAATTACTGTTTTATATAATTTTATGTCTTTTAAAGAAGTTAAGGGAAGATAGAAAAAAATGTATCAATAAATATATTTATTAATCCATATATTTACCATTTCTGGAGTAAGTTCCTTTCAATATGAAAGTGATAAGTGTTTCTTGTAAAGCATATTGGATAGCAATGAATTTTCTTGGTCTTTATCTGGGAATGTCTTTATTTTTTCTTCAGAATTGAGTGATAGTGTTGCTGGATACAGAATTTGTGGTTGACATTTTTTTTTCTTTCAGCAATTAAATGTCATTTCACTGCTTTCTCTCCTCCATTGTTTCAGATGAGAAGTTAGCCATTAATTGTATTGATATTCCCCTGTAGATAATGAATCATTTTTCTCTTGCTGCTTTCAATGTTTTTGGCTTTCAACAGTTTGAATATAGGTCTAGGTGTGACCCCTTTTGTATTTATCCTGTTGGGGTTGGTTTAGCTTCTTGGATGTGTAGGTTAATTTTGCTTTAATCAATTCAAGACATTTTCAGCCATATTTCTTTCAACATTTTACTCCCATTACACATACATCAGAATTCTTGAAGTTATTCTACAAGTTTCTGAGGCTATTCATTTTTCTTCAATCTTTTTTCTTTCTGTTCTTTAGATTGTATAATTTCTATTAATGTTTCTTCAAGCTCATTGATTCTTTCTTCTGCCATCTTGAGTCTGCTGTTGAATCCCTGTAGTGAATTTTTTATTTCAGTTATTGTACTTTTCAACTCCAGAATTTCCATCCGTTCTCTTTTATAACGTCTGTTTTCTTCTTGAAAATTGCTATTTATGCATCATTGTTGTTATACTTTTCATGCTTTACAAACAGGGTTTCCTTTATTTCTTTGAACATTTTTATAATAACTATGTTGAAGTCTTTGTCTGCTACATCCAACATCTGCATTCAGAGACAATTTCTTTTGACTGCCTTTTTTTCTTCAGTATAAATAACATACACTATTTTTTGGAATGTCTCAATTTTTTGCTGAATATTGGACATTTTAGATAACCTACTGTAGCAACTCTGGATTCTGATTTTCCCCACTGAAAGTGGCTGTTGTTTTTTATTTGTTTAGTAACTTGCTTAGACTGATCTATGATATCTCTCTCCCCTGGTGTGCAGTTGCTAATGTCTCTACTCAGTTTTTTGTTGAATATTCTTGTTTGTATGTGATCCTGACTCTCTAGGGATTGCCCCTGTGTAGGGTAAGTTAGGAGTCACAGAATTATTGAACAGAGGTGCTTAACTACCTAGAGCCAATAGGCTTCTATCCTCTGCTGATGGACTTGTCTATGGGTAGGGGAGCATACTTAAGAATCAAGCCATTTTCAAGTCCACTGGGTCTTTTCACATCTTCTGTCTACATGTTCACAGCCTCAGGGCAGCTAGGAGACTGTGCTGGCTTAGGTCCTCTTTGGTCTCTGCTGATCATTCACACAGCCTCAGCGAAGGAAATGATTATCTCACCCATAAGCACAAGTTCAGGCTAGTAGAGCCGTTAGTCCTCCTCATTTGTCCACCTCAGAGATCTTCACTTCTAATCACACTGTTGCTGGGCACATGCTTTGCCCAGCACTCCAAATGAATGAGCCCTCTTCAACTTCAGCAGAGAAACTGCCAGCCCTTACAGCCTGCCCCACTCTGGCAGACCCTTCACGTTGACTGAACTGAGAGAGGAAAGGGTGTATACCCCAGGCCAGAATACAACCGATTCTCGCTGTTCTTACCCAAAGTTCAGTTTTAAAAGCATGAACACTTTTCAGATTGTTATATGCCTGTGTTTGATTTACAAAGTGCTAAAATGATTGTTCTATCAATTTTTTCCAGTTTTATCATTGCTTTTTACAGGGAGGATTTTGCCCATTTCCTCACTCAGCCATAGCCAAAGTCCTGCCTTTTCCCCTTCACTCCTTTTTTTGAACATCTCTTTTCTCTCATGAATAAGCACTCATCTACCTTTCTAAACACTGGCTCCTTCTTTGATTCTTTCACTAGCTCCTTTTGCTTATACTGAAATGTGGGCAGAATACAAGGTTTGCCCTCCTCAATCTTATTTGTCTTCATACCCTCAATGATGTCATATTTCCCCAAGCCTTTACCATTATGTCATACAGATGCCTCTAGAATCATTGTTTCTAGTCTATTCCTCTACCTCTAAACTCCAGTTACAAATTGCTGAGTGCTGGTTACACAATTCTGTATGAAGATCTTGCTGTCAAAGAAAATCAACACGTTCCATTCCTATCTTTAGCTCCCAAACATTTTTTCCATCTGACTTTTTCTGCCTTGCACAGAGTAGCTTGTGGTTATATGACTGGATTTATTAGACAATGCCAATATTCTCTCATTCACCAGAGTTCGACAACTTGGCTTTATCTCTGATTCATCACTTTTCCTCATTCTCTGTATGTGTTCATTTGCCTGTGAGATAATATATTCAAGGTTCTTTGCATGGAGCTTGTTACATAGTAAATGCTCGCTAAATGATGATGCGGCTGGTGGTCATTATTGTTGTTTTATCAAATCTTAAAATTCTATCTCTGCAATGTCTATCGTTTCCATATTATGAGGAAATGATGGGGTTGTGAAAAGAGTGGCGAATTGGAAATCAGCTAATCCAGTTTAGAATCTAGTCTGCCGCTTATAGTCACTTGACCTTAGAAAACTCTCCTAACTTCTCTGAGTCACAGTTTCTTCATCTAAAAATTGGGGGATCAGTTTTTCCTGGACGTATGTATACAATAGGTTTGTTGGAGAAAATCAAATGAGATAACTAATCACATTAATATTTTATACTTTATTAAGGAAAGTCATTAGCCCTCAACTTCCATGCTGTTTTCAGGCTCTTTTTATTTTTTTTCCTGGTCTACAATAATAACTTTCAAACTAGTTTCTCCATATCTCCCTAAAGCCACATTGCAGTAGGTTAATCTTAATAGAACTCAAATCTGATATTACTCCCCTGCATGAAAACCTGCGTTAGATGAAACAAATCTCAAGTCAGCTTGACGTTATTACCCCAGATTGCCTTTTCTTCCTCGTTCCCTGTTTCCCTGTGAATATCTTATTTGCCAACAAAACTCAGCTGTTCCCTTTTACTGAACACGTTTCATGCCCCCGTGCTGTAGGCCTGTTCTTCAAGGTCCCTCTTCCTGCATTTGTCCTCTGATCTTCCTCACTTCCCTTCCCACCAAAGCCTGCCCTCATCAGAGTTCACGTTAAACGCTCCCTTCTCTGTGAAGCCTTTAGTTTCTTGTTTGCTTTGAATGTGAACACCATGTCTTAATACAACTTCTATATCCTGCAGTGCCTTGATCATGGTATGAGTTCAATAAGTATTTTAATGAGATTCTTGCTTTGTTTAATGTGAACAAGAATACATCTTATTTTATTTTTTTTTTTTAAAGATTTTATTTATTTAATTTTTCCCCCCAAAGCCCCAGTAGATAGTTGTATGTCATAGCTGCACATCCCTCTAGTTGCTGTATGTGGGACTC